TGTATTTGAATGTATTTTAGGGAATATGTCAATTTGTGCTTAAAATCTTTGTAATCTTCTTATTGAGCTGCGAAGTCGTGTGGTAAATACATCGTAGTTTTTGAACTTTACTTGAGTTACACCCTTTACACAGCAAGGCATAAGATCGCAGTACGGGGTGCAAAAAGTAATAAGATGGGAAGGACAACAGACAAAGACATACTATCGAAAATTTCACTAGGGCAAAAGCAAATTGAAAAACTTACTTAAGTAGGGTCCCCAAAGAGATGGAGGGCTAGTGGGCAGATAACCTCGTGATATGTAAAGAGATGATTGAATACAGCCATGAATCGGTATTGACAGATCGAAAAATCTTAAAAAAAAAGGAGAAGACCCTTTATACTTTGGTTTACTATCTCAGTCTTCTGCCAACATCTTACATATGTCGGTAAATATATTTATTAAACTGTACACATTCGCAATGTTTCTGTTTTGTGTTTCATGTAGTAACATATACTGGTTTGATTAAACTGATTAATAAACAAATATTATGTAAATCTAATCAATTTGATTTTAAAAATACAAGAAATATAAAAAATTCAATAATTTAGTACGTCTTGTAGGTAAAATATATTCAGATTACTTTTGTTATATAACAAATATCTATAAATTGATGCAAATGGTATAGTTAATATACTTTCTCTACAGGGAGCTTCATGACGTGATAACACAATCTATATCGTAAACTACTTGGACAAGATTTATGAAAATTGGTTTATCTGGATAACAAGTTATGATGAACTTATAGAAAATATTTTGACAAACGTGCAACCCCCTTCGGTTATATCGGCAATGGAATTTTGGTATTTTAAATGGAACTCACTGTATATTAACATTTGTAAAAGGTGCCAGAGGTCAAAACTTCAAATTTTTCGAGTTATTCATCTTTTTTAAAAAATGTCTGGAAAACCTTTGCACACAAAGAGTATGTAAAGTTCTTTGAGGAATTTATATCGAAATGCCACAAAAAAATAGTAAGATTGGAAAAATGATAATTAGACAAGCCATTTGTGCTGTGATATGCAACGGTACAGTCTCAGAAGAATTCGAAGTGAAAAAAAGTGTTCGCCAAGGAGACCCGCTGTCTACATTGCTATTCAATATACTTTTAGAAAAAATTGTAAGGGTGGGATAAATAGGTCCGACACTATTTTATACTAGGAGCGTCAATTCTTAGCATACGCTGATGATGTGCAAAAAAGGAATGAACACCAGGGGATCCTTTAACTTGGAGGAGGAGGATGGATCAGTTGTAGAATTCGAGAAGGTAGATGAATATATGTTCCTATGTACTCTTATTGATAAGACATGTAAGGAAGAAACTGAAATCAACCTGAGACTGACCAAGAGCAACAGGTGTGCTGGAACCATGAGCAAAATAATTAAGGCCAAAGATATATCTCTAAAACAAAAATAATTAGACCCACAATGCTATACGCCGCCGAGACATGGACTAGGAACAAAACCATTCAAAACAGATTGAAAGCATTGGAAAGAAAGATACTTCGTAGAATGTTTGGTGGAAAAGTAGTAGAGGGAGTATCGAGAAGACGAACTAATGCAGAAGTGTACCAATTGTATGCTATAATCTTCATTACCAAAGGGGTGAAAAAACATAGGCTAGAATGGCTCGAACATCTAGAAAGAATGCAAGGTAATAGACTAGTCAAGAATATTGCTTGGAGAGTATCTGAGGGCAAAAAAAGAGACGAAGACCAAGAAAGAAATTAAGAGATGTAGTGATGCAAGATGTCAGACAGATGAGAATCAGAGATTGAAAGCTGATATGTAAGAACAGAAAACGATGGAAATTATCCATCCAGCAATGGGCCTAAAAGGCCTGTTAACGCTGTATATACATACATAACATCTTTATATACGGTCTGCTAAAATAGAACAATAGAAATATGAAGATATGTCGGAATTTAACAACAGAATAAAAAAATTGAAGAACAACTAGAAGATCCAGGAGAACTATGGAGTGAATTTAAAAACCAAGTTAACGAAATCTCCACAAACAATGGTTATAGAAAAAACTTAATCAAGAAAAATAACTGGATGACAGACGAAAACTTGAAATTAATCTAACAACGTCGACTGATAAAATCTAATGTAACAGAATATAGACACCTGCAGAGAAGTATAAAAAAGGAGACCAAAAATGGATGAGAGAAATGTGCGACGAAATGGAGGATGTAATATCTAAACACGACTTATTTAATGTGCACAAAAAAAGTAATATATTTAAAAGACTAGTTCCCTCTATACTTGTTAATACTAATAACAAAATTATTGTAAATGAGCAAGAAATAAGAAATGAATGGCAGCTGTATATATCAGAGTTGTTTGAAGATGACAGGAATAATATTGCCGAATTCTACCAAAACTGTACTGACGGCCCAGAAATTATGAAATGCGAAGTAGAATATGCTATAAATAATGCTAAAATTAGAAAAGCTTGTGGTCCAGATGATACACCAACTGAGTTGCTGAAACTAATAGAGAATGATAACATAAAAGTAGTAGTAAGACTTTTTAATTCAATATATAACACCGGAGTGATTCCCGCATATTGGCTCAAATCCATCTTTATCGCAATACCTAAAAAACACAATGCGAGAAAATGCTCAGAATATCGATTAATTAGCCTAATGAGCCACACTCTTAAAATTTCCCTCAGAATACTTCACAACAGAATTAGACGCAAATGCGAAGAAGATCTTGAAGATGCCCAATTTGGTTTTAGAAATGCTATGGGAACCAGGGAGGCACTTTTTGCGCTCAACATCCTATTACAAAAATGCCGTGACCAAAGAAAATATGTACTTTCATGTTTCGTGGACTTCGAAAAGGCATTCGATAAAGTACAGCATGTAAAATTAATGCAAATACTGAAAAATATCGGAATAGATGACAAGGATATTCGTGTCATTAAAAATTTGTACTGGAATCAAACTGCTATCGTAAAAATTGGAGATAACTACACCGATGAAATCTTCATACAACGAGAAGTCAGACAAAGTTGCATTTTGTCGCCATCATTATTCAATGTTTACTCGGATCAGTTATTTAAAAAGGCACTTGAGAGACAACCATATGGAATAAAAATCAACGGGAACTCCTTAATGTGATTCGATATGCAGACGATATAGTAATTCTATCAGATAATATTGAAGGTCTTCAAATTCTGCTTGATCGTATTCACGAGGTAGGAGAGGAAATGGGCATTAAAATAAACTTAAACAAAACCAAATTTTTGGTGTTTAGTCGTGACAAACATTTCGATGCAAAGCTAGAGTTCATAAAATGACATATTTGGGAACTGTGATAACGAACCAACTAGATCCAGACATAGAAATAAGTCGTAGAATAGCAATGACTTAAACTACTTTTATGAAAATGAAGTCATCTCTTTGCGATAACCATCTCAGTTTAGAACTAAGGCAAAGAATGTTTGGTCTGTACTTTTGTATAGTGCAGAAGTTTGGACGCTAAAAGTATCGATCATGAACAAAATTGAAGCATTGGAAATGTGGGTTCATAGACAAATGCTGAAAATACCTTGGACAGCAAGAAAAACTAATGAAGAAGTACTAAGAACCGTCAAGAAAGACAGAGAACTGCTAAAGACTGTTAAACATCGAAAAATGTCTTATCTGGGACATATAGTAAAGGGAAGTCAATATAAAATTTTACAACTGATCCTTAAAGGCAAAATAGAGGGCCGTAGAGATGTAGGAAGAAAAAAGTTTCTTGTTTAAAAAACATTTGTGAATGGACTCAGATACCAAATGCAGGACAATTATTCCATATTGCAGAAGATCGAGAAGCCGTCGCAATGGTGATCGCCAACGTCGGATAAATCTGATATGGCACGCGAAGAAGAAGAACGTTTTATTTCTCTAAATGTCACCTCAATTGAGTACGTTCTCTGAAATTTCAAAAATTTTAGTGCAACAACTGCAGCACGTTTTTACGTCTCCTGAAAATTTTTGAAAAGTGGATTTATGCCACAGTATTATTAACCACAGTCAACACAAAATGGGACCAATCAACAGAAATAAGATCACGAATTGAAAAAGCGCGAAACGCGTTCAACAATATGAAAAAGTGGTTCACAAGCAAAATCTCAATGGAACTAAAATTAAGACTGGTCAAGTGTTATGTCTTCCCGGTCTTGTTCTATGGAGCAGAGGCATGGACCACAACGGAAGCCACCCTGAAGAAACTTTGATCTGTGGATATGTCGCCGTATTCTTCTGATATCCTGGACAGACCACATCACTAACGTGGAAGTAATGCAGAGAATAGGCAAAAGCAAAGAAATAATCTTCACCGTAAAGAAACGGAAGCTTGAGTACTTCGGACATGTCATGAGGCATACTAAGTACCGGCTGCTACAGTTAATAGTCCAAGAAAGAATCGACAGTAGGAGGGGACCGGGACGAAGACGACACTCATGGATGCATAACCTGCGACATTGGTTCGGACTAACATCGACCGAACTATTCAGAGGTACCGTAAACAAAGTCAAAATAGCCTTGTTAATAGCCAACGTCCGAAACGAATAGGGCAAAGGAAGGAGAAAAAGGATTTATGCAGTTTTGTAAAATCTCTTGTAATCCTCATAAACTCATTTTCATAAATATCGTTTTTTTCCGATATATAAAGAATGTAAGCTTGTTGTGAAACACCCTGTATAGTATGGTATAATATACTCAATATATCAGAATATATTTTGATTAAGTCTACACATTCATTATCAAGATTTATTAAATAATATAGTAATTCGTAAATCATTGGAACTTCCGCTGATTTTTATTTGATGTACTGTTTGACTTTGTTTTAAAATAAACGATCTTTGAAGTGAGAACATAATGAGCCAAAGTAAATTGATTATGAATGTGTATATGTTTTTAAGAGAAAAATTTAAATTACTGATATATTTTTAATGTGTTTAGCATCAATCCCACCAAGGGCAAAACGATAGTCCAGATATGTACGAATATGCCGACAGTCCAAAAGCCAATCCTCTGGGCTTTAATACCTCCGGATCAGTAGACAACAGACCAGCTACATCGTATCCTCCAACGTCGCCGCTTCGAACATCATTTAATCCAGGAGGAAATTTATTCAATTTTTCTTACCCGCCTACTATGGATGCAGCTGCTTTTGAAAATCAACTCATACAAAAGCTGCAAGCCTTGAGTAATTTCCAGCCAACCACTCCTTTCCAATATCCTTATTCACAGTCTATGCCATTTTTGCTGCAAAGCTTGTACTCGCCACCTTTAATGAATAATACATATACCTTGCAGAATCCTCCTCATAAAAATATGCAATTATTTATGGGCAAACCGGTTGGAGCTGGAAGACATAGCGAACCTAGACAACTGAATCCTACTTATTTTAACCCAAATCAGTCACCGCCTAGTAAAAAAGAAGATTATCATACTCCTCAATATGGTACACTACGCCAACAAAATTATGGCGCACAAAACAGCCAAAGTAATAACGACACATATCAACAGAAGGACCCAGACTCTCCGTTATATCAAAAAATAATTCCCAAAAAGGAACAAGAAGAAATCAAACAGGTCCGATTGCAACACAATCAAAGAGAGTCTAGCCCCAATCCAATATATCAAACAATCATACCAAAAAAGGATCTTAGTAACGGTAAACACATTAAAATACAGCAAAATGAGTCGCTTAAAAGAGAATCTAGTCCCAGACCTCAGGAAGGGGACAGAAATTCTGGCCACTTCATCAGACCTCATTCGCAAGTCGGGACACTCACCACGACCGATGCTGATGGACGGCTTCGAGTTATAGTGCCAGTGTTGTCCGGTTCTAAGGAGGATCTAAGTGAAAGTTTTAGTAATTTACGGACTGATGACAAGTATAAAGGAACATTGTCGAGAACTTATAGTGATAGATATAGTAAAAGTAATTCGCAACCGCCACCCTCTATTATGAGGCACAAGAGTAAATAAAATTTATGATTTATATCAATTATTTTGTCATCCAGACCAATATTTATTAACTCTTCGTTCATCGGGTGACCATTCTGAAACACTTTCGGTCGGGTGTGGTCTATGAGGACCAAAATGAAATACCGCCTCCCTAGCAACAGCATACATTTTATTGCTAATTTCGCATAAACGTGTTTTAAACAAATCGTATAGTATATAATGTTTATAACAGAAACAATTCCAACGTTTCCAAGATTTCAATCGTAAACCACTTCAAACAAGTTTTAATCCATAACTGACGCACAGACCACAGACAAAAAATTTTTATCGGTGAACTGACGTATTTTCTCGGAATAACCGAATAAAACAGTTCACAAAAATTCACAGGTTTGCCAAGTGAAACAAGATTGCAAGAAAAATACAACTAAGAAGCAGTGCAAATATTGTTACACATTTGATCGGGTGGGGTCTGTCAGAACAAACGGTCATGCAGCAGCTATTTAGAAATTTCAAAAACAGTTTTGTATAAAAAAAACGAATGGTATTTAGTTTCTAGGAAACTACTGAAAAGGTAGAAATTTAAAAAAATAATAATAAAATGTGAGAATTATCTAAAATTTTTATTTTGTCGTAGACTCACAGATGACACCCGATGAACGGAAGGTTAAATAGATGGTGGTATGTTAAAAGATAATTTGGTTGTTAATATATATTTTTTTATACTTTCTAATGTAATTCAAAAATTAATAATATATATAGAATATATATTCAGCGGCCAAATGTCCGTCCATATATATTTATCATCTTGTAATAAAGGTCAATCTATTATAATTTGAACTGACTCTGATTGACTCTACACCTGACACCAAATTGATGGCAGATGTGAGGACAATGTATTATAAATACGCACCTGACACTCTCACCTGACATTTTCTCGATGCAATATCTGTACCTCAAAACCAGAAAAAATGTAAGTCACGTTTAGCCAAATTTTCTGGAGAAAGCAAAAACTGAAAACGTTACCTAATTGCTTAATTACAAAGCTCTCACTTTAATTTACCTTCAAACTATTGTTTGTATTATTAACAAATAAGTATCCTTTATTTATTGTTTGATATTTTTTACCAAATTATATCCCATTCTGTAAAAAGTGGACTTATGTTATTTTGGTTCCACGCAAAACCCTACTGTAGGACTTACTCCTGGACTTGCGTTATTTTAGCTCTACAAAAATCCCTTATAGGACTTACTTATCTATGAAAAGGTGTTTAGAAATAAACTTCATGTGCTACTATTAAAAACATGTAATTATTATAAACAAACTTAGATGAAAAACTAGCATTTAGTCAATGTTTTTCAATTACTTTTGAACATTATTGTCAAAGAGGTAAGGAGAAAAAAAAAATATTCAAGAGCAGTCGAGTCATCCTCAGGGGATTTGCCTTCGTGTTCACCATGTGGAAGGTGTTCAAAGAAAGATTTGTATTCCTCATGGATCCATTGCATCAGGTACATGAGGTCATTGCACTTTTCATTGCTTATTTTCTTTTTGTGTGCCCGTATTTGTGGAATTGCCAATGTGATATTAATCCTTTCTTGCCTACGATTTATTTTTAGTTCAGCACTTTTGAATGAATCTTCCTCAAAACTGGTTTTATAGTATAGCTTACTGTCCTCTTTTCGAAGCTGTTACCATACTGCATTGGATATTAGAAATGGTTTGTTGTTGTGTTCTTCTTCCTTGATATAAATGGGGCGTCTTTGCTCCTCAAGAAGAGAAAGTCAAACAAGTCTTTAATGCACATCTGTCTGACAACAAATGGATTTTTTTGAGCATGTAGCAATAAAGTTTGCCCAATCATTATTTGTAGTGAAAATAGTGTTACTTTTTATTTGTTTTTTGGCTCTCTCAGATCACAATTTTTGGACTTACGTTCGTCTGACTCTGAGGTACAGATATATGCAAGACTACTTTGTTACCATTACCGATGCTACTGGGTTAACCCACATATTACTGAAACTATTTTTTTTTTTAATTTTATCTTTACTTAAAGGAAATATAGTGTCTTATTTAACGACAAAAAATACTAAAATAATAATTTTTGCATTACTTGTCAAAATATATCATGTTTTTTTAAAAGAACAGCAGTAAGAAGCAGTATATATTATAAAGTAAAACTTTATTTACAAAGTATGGAAATCCTTAAAACCTTGTTTAGGATGTAATGGTATTTTACATTTTTCGCACAAAAATTTAACCTTTTTCTTGCAAAGTCCGCAACGAAATTGTTTTTCTTGATAAACAAATAAATGGTTTATACCGTGATATCTTGAATGTAAGACCGTGTTAATCGTCTTGTTGAGTCGCGTTTGGTATCTTTTTTGTAGGTTTCCAGAAGGTTGCAAGCTATTTACCTTCTAAATTCAAGCTGATCAAGGCTTCATCCGTTTTTTCGGTCCAATTGCCACGAGTTTTGAACAGCCATGTCAATTCCATGTACTATTATCGGAAAGTACCATTTTTTCCCTCTTACAGAGATCCGGTAAAGACTAATGTTTTGGCCACAGCGGTCTACGCCACCCATAAAAGAATTGTATTGTTTTTATCATGTTTGGCTGAGAAACAAAAGTGTGTCTCTTCTCCTTATGGGAAAACCATTTGATTAGGTGATGTGGTTTTACTGAACAAAAGTTAGATGCAATTGTAATGACACTATTGTCGTGCCAGCGACAAACCACAATTCCTGTGTTTTATCTAATCTGTAATCGTAAGTTCCGCTTTCCTTTTTTTCATAGCTGTTGGCGCTAATAGGGGACATTTTAGTGTTCTATTGTCCCTTATTTCACCTGTACCGAAAATACCTCTAGTTTTTAACTCATTTAGTAGATGCATGGATGAGAAGAAGTTATCAAAAAAAAGTGGAATCTCGTTTTTGGCCAGCGTGATTGAAGCACATCTGCATAAGACAAAACAACCGACGAACCATGACCCAAAGTTTTTCTATAAGGCTGATATTTGCACTGAGTTGCCTTGATACGATGTAAACGATACAATATAACCTAGACGAAGAGTACCCATCCAAAGCTTATAACCCTAACTAATTTCATATAAATTGTTTTATAGAGTTCCTTTTAGCACTCTAGCATAGCTTCATATAGGCTATGTTCTTGTTCGAAAGGAGCGTGATGTAAAATTTTTTTATTCAATGCATCATATAATGGCCGTATTTTAGCAAACTTTTCTGTTTTGTCCAAACTATTATTTGGGGATCGGGATTCAATACCTCTATCGTGTCAATCTACCTGTATCGTGTCGGGGGAGGCAACGGGAAACCACCCCTTTATTTCACCCACGAAAGTTCATGATATGAGCAATAGCTGCGAGGCCTCGGATGATGAGCTTCGCGATCCGGATGGCACCCGGCGCATCTTCTCGTCCGGGGAGGAATGTGTGAAATCAGTTACCGGGCATGTAGACGTGACTCATCAGGCTTTACATGCGAAATGTGCTACTGGTGAAAAACAAAAACTTAATAACCGCAAACCATACAACATAGCTACATGGAATGTCCGTGGTCTTTTACAACCGGGCAAACAAGCTATTCTGGAGAAGGAACTGGAACGAACCAATATCTCTGTGGCCGGGCTCTCTGAACTTCACTTCCGCAACGAGGGGCACCACATAACTAATTTGGGACATTTCATGTGCTTTTCCGGCAACACTAACAAAAGTATCAATGGTGTTGGCTTCTGGGTTTCAAAATCTCTTTCTCCCTATATACTGGGATATCAAGCTATCAGTGATCGTATAATTTCCTTAAAACTAAATGGATCTCCCTCTATTGTACATTTGATTCAGGTCTATGCGCCTACCTCAACTGCTGATGATGATACAACTGAATATTTTTTCAACGAGCTGGAATCATATCTGCAAAATATCCCAAATAAAGAAATCGCTATTATCATGGGTGATTTAAACTCAAAAATCGGTGTTACTATGGCTGACGAACATATACGAAATATTGTGGGTAGATATGGAATAGGTGAACGCAATTCAAGGGGAGACCGCCTTATCCAGTTCTGCGTTGACAATGACTTGACAATAATGAACTCTATGTATAGGCACCACCCCAGAAGATTGTACACTTGGATCTCACCTAACGGACGACACCGAAATCAGATCGATTACATAATGATTAAACATCGCTGGAAAACATCTATTAGCCAATGTAAAACACGACCTAGCGCTGACTGCGGCTCTGACCACCAACTTCTTGTTGCAACGCTAAAGCAAAAATTCAAGGCATGTGCTAGGATCCGAAACAAGAGGATATCAAAAATAAAAGATACACAACAATTTAAAATCCAATGTAATGAAAGATTCGAAAATATTTTACCAACTATCGTCACTCATGATTCCGAAAAGATTTGGTTATCTTTTAAAAATACCTTGATACAGACCTTGACTGACTGCGAGGCACAGTCTAATGCCGTCTCAACCGGACCAAAAAAAGTGTGGATGTCTGCAGATACTTTTGACCTCGTTGAAGAACGTAGAAAACTTAAAATTGCTGGAATCGAGAACCCTCTCAGGAATTCCCAGTACCGACAGCTATCTAGAGCTATTCAGGCTGCTTGTAGACGAGACAAAAACAAGCATATAGAGAAAATCTGCAGAGAAATTCAACTACACGCCGACACAAATAACACCAAAGAACTCTTTGATAAAGTCAGACAACTCACACGTAAATTCAAGCAGAAATCTTGGTCTATCAAAGATGATGAAGGTAATGTACAGACGGATTTGGACAAGGTTATTGATGTTTGGAGGGCGTATTGTAAGTCTTTATACGCCAATACGGACC